TAAGGTGACTTGTGCATCCTCTGCACACATAGCGCCTCGACCCGTGCAAAAAAAACCGCTCCATCCCCACCATCCGCTCCATGCGCTCCACTCCATCCCCTCCATCCGCACCGTCCGTGGAGACGCTGCTGGTTGAGCTGGGCATTGGGTTTTCTGGCAAATGAACGTGGCGGCAGTGTTGAGCACTCCAAGCTTGGGGCAGTGTTTTTGAATCCATGAAGAGGCATGCGATGCCGCTTGTCGCAACTTATTTAGCTCGGAGTGATTGAGACGATTGCGTTGCGCAGTGGCTGGTCTTTGAACGTATCTGTGAAATCTCAGAGCAGATTTTCGGGGGGCTTTGTGAGAAGAAGCGATTGTGATGCAGACAGACAGAAGAGATGTTGAACAAAAACATTTTTTCATTTGTTTTTTCTTCTTTCCTAGGGGGCGTGCGTAAAGTCCACTTGTGGGAACCTTCGTGGTAAGGAGGGGCTTCAGGGGAGATGCGCGGTAGACGGTAGGTTTCAGGGGGGCCTCAACGTGGGACTTAAGGGGTGGCTCAAGGGAAGGGATCAAGAGGGAGGAAAAGGAAGTGCTTAAGGGGTGGTTAAAGGAAGATTTACGAATTTTTGGGATTGAGATGGCGCTTATAAGGAGGGGAAAGGGATAGGTTTTGGGGGGATTGAGCGCGGGATAAGGGGGGCTTCAAAGCTTGGGGCAGTGTTTGAATCCATGAAGAGGCATGCGATGCCGCTTGTCGCTACTTATTTTGCTCGAGGTGATTGAGACGATTGCATTACGTAGTTGCTGGTTTTTGAATGTAGTTGTGAAATGTCAGAGCAGATTCTCGGGGGGCTTTGTGAGAAGAAGCGATTGTGATGCAGACGGATAGAAGAGATGTAAAACCAAAAACATTTTTTCGTTTGTTTTTTCTTTGGTCCTAGGGGGCGTACGGAGGGGGGTTCGAGAAGCGGGGAAACAAAGGAGGACTAAAGGTTTTCGGTGAAGGAGTGGTTCGATTATCTGTTGGTTTCGGCGTGAGGCTGTTGGCTCATCCAAAAAATTTGAGCACCCGTTAGGTTCAGAAATCTTTCAGCCTAAAGTCTAC